TCTCCTCCCGAAGCAGACGCATTTCCATGACCAAATTCTGTGTCGGTGACCCCTCCAAGGTCACATTATGCTCTGTGTCATTGAGGAGACCATCGTTATCGGGTGGATTGGGCAAATGAGCCAGCGAATCGTCCAAACAGTCTGGAGCACCCTGAGTCGGGTTTCCGCCGCGTCGAACCGTAACCCCACCAACTGAATGCACAGGGGTATCAGCATTATCTGACTTAGGCAGTTTGCTAACACACAAGGGACACCTCCAGGCAGCCCTATGTTCGCAAGTCATAGTATTGAAAAATCGTTGCTCGGACACATTTGCACATAGTAGGTCATAAAAACCTTTACAGTTTGCACAGCACAAAAACAGACGATTTTCTATAGGTAGTAAGCAACCAGAGCAAGTAATATTGTTGGCTGCCATTTCAAAAAACAAAGAAAAGAAATTTAAAAAAATAAAAAAAATTAAGAATAGATTTGTGTCGGATTTGAACCCCGGGCACTTCAAATACGGCGTCAAATTCACGCCGCTATACCAACGACTCGCTTATACGAACTGGTGAAATTTCGCTATCCTTGGTACGTAATGCCAAATCGTGCGTCATGTGCAAAAACGGACGAGCGAAGAATACCCACAACGGCGCACTGTTCGCAGAATAATTTGTTAAACTGTGATAGTTTAAATGTTAAAATGTTGTGTTTTCTCCACAACTACAACACACTCAATTAAAACACAAACACCAAACGAAGGAGCCGAAGACGCGAAAACATTTAATGTACAACTTAGATCACAACAACAAGTATTATCACATAAAATAATTTTTAATAACTGAGAGCCATGTATCACGTCCGATATCGATACCGCGCCCCGCGCTTCCATTCATTGGAATTATTTTTTATTAAATAATTACGTGCGATTACTTCTCATTTGGCATTGTTTTATATAAGGGCGCTCTCTAACCGGCGAGCATTCGCTTGTCGCGTTATAGATAGATAGATAGATAGATAGATAGGTAGTTTATTTGCCACAAAACACACATATTACATGAAATACAAAGACAGAACAAACAATGATATAAATACTTAAAACTAACAAAAGTAGAGTAATATAAACAACAAGGACAAAATAAAATCAAGACTTATAGTAGAAAAATGTAGCATGTGTGCTGCCGTGGCGCATAGGACGCAGCTCAGCTTTAAACCATCGCCAAAAGCGACGAGCTGATTTTCAGCTACCTCCCAAAAGGTTACGCGGAACGTTAAAAAAGGGAAGAGAAAAGAAAAGATTGTTGCTGTGCAAATTAGTGCGCTGTGTACTCAAATCATATAGGAGGAATAAAGAATCATATTATTATAATAAATTGCAAACCTAAAATGAATTTAAAAAAATCATAAAAATAAAGAGAAAAAAAAATTAATAGTAGATTATTATTTGTGGTCAGTCTACAATAAAATATAAGTTAATTAAAGTTTACTCACTAAAACAATAATATATCGGTCGGATACGACACCTCAGGCGCGAAGTGCTGAGGAATACCCAGTCTTTGCTTGGCCAATACAGCAGATTTTAAATGTTTTTTAAAAGTGTATTTTGATTTAAATGATCTAATTGGGGGAGGGATGTTGTTCCAGCACTTCGTCGCCTGATAACGGAAACTGCCAGTGAACGCCACAGTTCGGTGTTGCTGCAGTAATAACGGAGGACGTACAGACCTTGGATCTTCTTGGAAGTAACGGTTACGAGGAAAAATCAGTTTCTCGTACAGATATTCGGGACGTTTATTTTTTATTATATCGAACATAAGGCAAGCAAGGTGAAATCTTCTACGCGACTCTATGTTCAACACAGATGCTGCATTTATATAAGGAGAAATGTGGGTCCGAGGAGGAATATTATAGCAGAACCTACAACACGCATTTTGTACGCGCTGCAGTAGACGTTTAGTTCGTTCTAGGATGCGAGGCCCATACACGACATCACCGTAATTGAGCCTGGAAAGGATCAGAGACTCACAAAGCATGACACGGGATTTTTCACTCAGTAAGTGACGGATCTTGTATAGTACTTTGAGACGATAGAAACAGCTATTTACAAGGTTCTGTATATGGCTTTCGAAGCGTAACAAGCTATCAATGACCATCCCAAGGCATTTTGCCTCGTTCACGCGTTCAAGGTGTTGACCATGAATAGTTACGATGGGATTACATTCAATTACTCTGTTTACCTGCGTCCCGCCTCCAAGCACCATAAACTTAGATTTAGTCGGATTCAAAACAAGAGAATTCTTACAGGACCATTCATATACACCAGTCAGGTCTTCGTTTAGTTTTTGCAGGGTAGATAAAGCATCCTTAGGCTTTGCTGAGATGTACAATTGAACATCATCCGCATAAAAATGACACCTACAATGTTTCAAGACACGCTGAAGGTCAGCACAGTAGATAATGAATAAAAGAGGACCAATTATTGAACCCTGAGGCACACCACAGATTACCCGCCGAGAAGCAGATGTCAAAATAGTTCCATCATGTCTATGAAGTCTGACAATCTGCGTTCTATTATATAGGTAACTGTTAAACCACAGCAAGGAACGTGTATTAATACCGTAGAAAGAAAGCTTAGATAGAAGAAGAGATATACTAATACTATCGAACGCACGGGAATAATCCAGCGTAGTAAAAAGAGTCGCATGACCAACATCCTGTTCAGTTAATATATTGTCAATGACATCGAGCAAAGCCGTTGTGGTACTACGTCCTCTACGGAAACCAGATTGAATGGAAGGTAGTATATTATTTTCTTCAACATATTTACTTAACTGTACATGTACAATCCTCTCCAATATCTTCGACAAAAAAGGCAAAATACTAATAGGTCTTAAATCTTTGAGATCACTAGGGTTATCTACTTTTGGTAATGGATTGACCATAGCCACCTTCCACTGTTCGGGAAATTCTCCCATAACAATTGACCTGTTTATTATGCCCGTAATAGCTTTCAGAGTATGTGGAAGAGTGAGCATTACCATATCTCTACTAACACCATCATAGCCAAGAGCGTTCGATTTCACAGACATGATATACCTACTAACATCCTCCTCGCTTACAGTATCCAAATTAAATTCGGACGTACAAAACCTCTGAGACTCGAAATATGTCAATTGCGAGATAGGAACAG